TAAAATATGTATTTTAAATAAATTTATTTTATACACATATATAATATATAATATTATTACAATTTATATAAATAAAAAAGTGTGTGTGCATATAAGTTACATTATACATAGGATAATATATTATTACAAGTTATGAGAAACGTTCAAATAAAAACCACTTAATTTGTATAAATCAATGCAACAATTTACCCGATAAGTGTTAAACGGATAAGATTCGTCATTCTCAGTACTTATCGGGTAACACTCTTGATCATTGTCATTGCTCTAACCGGATAAAATTCACAATCCTCACCATAATGTTCATTCAGTAACATAAATGGCTCAGTAAGTGTTTACCAGATAATCAACTATTGAGTAACATCTGATACAAGTAATTCAAAATTAGGTATCCAAGTTGAACTTTTTTCTCAAAATGAATTAAATCAACATCTTCTCAATTCTCCTTTTTTAAATATGACAAGAAAAAGGATGTATAATCCCTAAGCAAAAGATACAGAAATAACACATGAAATTAAATCAAAAGTTTGGAAATCATAAATTTATATATATATATATATATATATATATATATATATATAGCATATAAATAATTCAAGCACAAGGTGGGAAGGGGAGATGACAGAAACCGCTAATCTTGATGAGACCAGGCCACCCGTGTCTTTGTGGGTATTCACATATGCATGGGCCTTGTTCCTTCAATATTCCACAACATTTTGCCGTCGGCATTCCTCCCTCTTTTAACTGATCTTCACAAGCATCCAGTAGCACGTTCACATCACAATTTGCTGCCTCCGCCACTTGGACCTGCCCTGCGAGAAGCACCATCACCATCACCACTGCACCAACAACAACAATACTACTCACCGCCATCTTCATTATGAATAAACCCGCTATCTTGACACAACAAATAATACAGAAAGGTGTTAACTAAATGGACATGACACAATGAAATGTGGATTTTTGTTGGATTATTTATAGATATTTTTTGGTAAACATTCATTAATTACAAGATATTTTTGGATGGCCCACTTGAGGTTTTTACTATTTTTTAATTTTTATAATATAATTAATGCTATAAAATTAAATATATTTTTCTATCTATAACATAATCGTTGAAAATATGATGCGAATTTTAACAATAAAGTAATAGAGTTTGGAGGATATGAGCTGTTTTGGGAATTATATATTTCTGTATTTATGATATTTCCTAAATTTATTGTATATACCATTTTTTTTAATTATCTTATTTATTTAATCACTTTCCACTAAAAGAATTCATAAATACAATATATTTCAAGGAGAATTATATCAAAACTAAATGGATTTTTAATATTTCTTGGTCCTTGTCATGTTCATTCGATGAAGAAAATTGCTCAGTAAGTATTTATCGGGTAAACGTTTAATAAACAACCCCTTAGTTTCAAATCCTCCATTTTTTATCGTGTCATAAATTACACATAATAACGATTGTAGCTTTTCGTTTTCACAAAATCAATCCTTTTTTGTAGATATAGTTTTATATTATGATTTTTATAAAAAAAGTAATAAATAAATACGATAATCCATATATGATCAATAATTGTTTATTACATTATTAATCTTAAAATACAAAATCTTAAATTACCATATCTTTTTGTATCATGTAAAATATATAATTATATTTTTGTGTTTATATTTTTACCAAAATTTAAATATCACGTTCTTCAAGATAGGATGTCATGAATAAATATTATTAAAGCTACGTTTGGTAAACTGACTGATAAGTTAACTCACAACCGATAGGCTACCTAGGAGCTGATAAGATAGTTGATGAACAAATCATATTTGACAAAACTAGCTTATAAACATGTAAAATAATAAAAAACGACATCTTGAAAAATTAATCATTACAATATTTCATTATATAATTAAAACACATCTCATAAAAATATAATATGTTAATTAATAAAATTTTAAATTTATTATTATATATTATAAACTTTGA